TACTTTTAACCGACTTCAAAAAGGAGGAGGTTCTAAATTTGTACAAATGTTTTAACTGTTTGAATACAAGCAAATAATAGACGAGTTAACTTTTCACCTTGCATCTCCGATTGTGACAAAACCAAATATTGGAATTTATCCCATGCTGCGCATTACCATTCTTGTAACATATAAAGCTTAAAATAATATACTTAATAATGCGAATTACTTAGGTGTTTTAATTTATTTCTTTGTATCCTTATTTACCTTTTTATTGCCGTACACTAGAGAATAACTGGTACCTCATAATAAAGAATCCAATATTTCTATCCGCCATCTTAAAAAGAAAACCACTTCAAGTGTACTTCAATCCCAGTTCATACAAACTCGTAGTTTATACAGGGAGCAAAAAAGTTTCGATTGTCGCAAGTTTGCGTGGTCCGTTTTAATGATGCAACATTTGGTCATTTTCTTTTCTGTTTGCCTTTGACTCGGTCCAGTGACGTCTGGACAAAGGTCTTTTTCATTAGTCACTCTGTAACCACAATGGCCGTCCGTCGCATCTTAATAATGATCTACACTAGACTACAAAGTCCTATTCAAAATTCAACTTTAACTTTTTAAGCGTGCAAACTTGAAATTAGAAAAAAATTTCATGTCTCACCGTTGGAAAAACGGACTGAATTTTATATTTTAGACATCACAGAAAGTAATTTTACGATTCCACATAATGAAGTTGATGCAAATATTTTTCAAGTAAATTTTAATATTACATTTATTTCGACAATTGACACTACCACACTCAGAATCGCGATATGGACAATATCATAAATACAGTATTCATAACTTTGGCGAAGTTTTTAAAAAATATTGTATCGTAATACGGCTATTTTTTCATATTATCCTTAGACGATTCGGATTTCAAAAGATTTAAAAAAAAGTCATGAAGATTGTGTTTGCTTTTCTAAAAATAAATAAGACAGACCATAACTTGCGGTGTGGCGTTATTAAAATCTGTCCATAACTCCCGCGCGCCAATTATATCGCCGGCCGAGGCGTCACTTGTCTATAATGGTCTCTGTTCCCGCCTTTTTCGCTGTCAAAGTGCTTTTTTCGCAACAGAGCTGTGTAAAAATTCTCGATTTAGTTTTCTGCGTCTGTGACAAAAGCTTGGCTTTTGTATTCTAGGAATTTATTAAATGCTTTTTTTAGAAATTAACTGCAGTTAACTATCTTAAAAACTCGATATAATCGATAAACCATCTCTCATATATTCATCTTCATGTGAATGTACTTAATATTGGTTTATTTGTGCCTTCAGCTAAACCATAAACTATATTTCTATAAAAATATTTAATACGTGACTTCGCATTTTCTATTTGTATGTGCGTAGTTTATTTATCAATTGATCCATTCATACACCTGTGGTTTGCTAAACGACTTAGGTTCGTTGACACATAACGCCTAAAAGCATTAAGATTTGCCATTCAACCTTTTTAGATAGTTATTGTATTGTAACCAAAATATTGTACAAATGTGCCGGCTCGACCGAAGTGAAGACGCTTTTACATCTGTTTCGCCTAGTGATCGAGATGTCATAAACCAAATTTATTTCTCATCAGGTCTCTTCTTTAAAATTATCTGTGTGCATTCTTTTTTAAGCAAATCCTAGAATTCAGTATCAATGTGATATACCAAAATTCGTAATCTTCGATCGTTTATTTAGTAGAAACTGATTACGAATGAAATTGGGACTTTAAGCACAGTAAAGTAGTGGTTCAAGCTTTATATGTCAAAATAAAACAAAGCACTGTATTGTCAACTTCGGGGCCGCTATCGATCGTGGCAGACGTTCCTGAGCGCTGGATAGAATTTCGATGGGACCATTTAGTGTTGCCAACTATAAAATTTCCAATGCAAACTGTTTTGAAGCGCAGATAGATGCGGATTTTTTTTCGATTCAACTGGATTCTACCGCAAATTTTCAAGGAAGATTTCACAGATTCTGTAAAAAGAACCAATTTATATAACGTGTTTCAGGTAAAGAATCAAATGAAAGATGTAAAAAAACCTATTAACCGATGCGACGGTTTCTACTAACGAAGATGTCCCCCTCCCTTACAAAAATGTATTTGTAATTTTCAATAAGAACGCGGACATGTTAATGTCTCTCGATATAATATTACACGATAATGTGTATCTTTATGTGGCTACCTTGGTATGCATTATCGACATACCTTGTTTTATCTTGCTTGTCGCTTCCGGTCTTAATTCCGCCATGATAAGTAATTGAACTTCGTTAATTTCTTGAATAACAATCACGTAAATTATTAAGTAATCTGTTTTGATAGAAATTTTAAGAATACTGAAGTAAAATCTAATCGTTTTAATTTCATTTTTAATGGGTAAAAGGACTGATTTAATAACTACCTGATCTGCTAAAATTAATTCGGTCTTCAAAAAATATCACTTCGCATTTATTTATTAACATAATGCATATCAGAAATAAAAACAAAAAGCCTACAATAGGTATAGGTGAGCTCCGTATAGGCTAGATTTACTTCTTAAATATCTTAATTTACGGTGCGATAAGACATTGCAATGCCAAGGCACATACAGTGAAACATACAGATAGGTAGAAACCTTTAAAAACATCAAATTTCTTATGTCAATAATGGAGTTGGAGGAGATGGAGAGAGAGAGAGAGAGAATGGAGATGGAGTAAAATAGCATGACTAAAGTTTGTTCATCTTGATGGGGGTGTAAGGGCGACTGAACAATGTAGAGATCGGGCAGCGGTCTATTGTGTAAAACTTTGCACCGCGTCTGCCAACTCCGCACCCCCACAACAATGTTCATTATCCAATATATGAATATTTCTTTATCAAACTTCGATAGTAACAGGATAACTAAAACAAGCAACTATTAATTAAATAGCGATACAACTTGCTACCCATATGACACCCGTAGTTACGAATGTTCGCACTTTTCAAACTCTGCTACTGGGAGTGACATTCATTCTTAGAAAATATCTCACATACCCACGTAACGTTTACCAATTGGGCAAAAAGTTTACTTTATAAATCCTGCATAAGTTTTTCGAGTTTGTCGTGTTATTAAATATCTACGGAAATTCTGGAAGACTTGGATTAAAACATTGTCTCCGTCTTCCGAGAATGAGAAGGACGTTGAATGTTTTTATAAAAGTATGTCGCCAGTGGAAACCCAGTCGCATTACGACATTAAACTATTCAGTTTAAAAACACATCGATTACGTTACCTATAAAGTATCGATACATATAATTTTTGTCCATTAAGCAACGCGCCGCCCATACATCGGGCCTTATAAACGATTCCGTTGACGCAATCGTTTTTATAATGCTAACTGTAGACGATTCGCTTTCAACATTACAAGTAGCTCATAGCTTTCACGGGATGTGCGATTTTTTTTAATAGCAGGCAAAGGATTAAACATCTACATGATGATTACTACTTTTATAAAACAAGCTAGCAAATGCGACGTCACATTTTCGCAATAAACAAATGAACTGCAATAATGTTGCTCGTTTTTAGTAGATCTGTCTAGGGAGATTCAAGAATAAAGATAAGAAAAGGAAGATAGACTGTACTGCAGTACATTAAGAAGGCTAAACCCAAAAAAAAAAATTTTTTTTCTATTTGGACTAATAATTTAAAAAAGACAGTGGATTTTTTTAGATGCAGTAATATATCTGCATGATTTAAGACATTGAAAATGGCCCATGATCACACTGGAAACAGGTCACTAATAATTATGAATAACATGAAAAAACCCCTAAAGAAAAAAGTTTAAATAGATCTCAAAACCACATCTTGTATGAATGCACTAGATATTTTCATCAATAATTTTAGAAGACTCATCAAACATTGCTAAAGAGATAAACAATGTAAAGAATAATGAAAATCCTTCTGTTTCATGAATATAAACAGTAAACTACCCCCCAAGAGAAGTTAGTGCCTTCAATTACCTTATTGTGAATTTTCAGTGTTGAAATACCAGTACAAAAATATTTTCTTATAAGCATACTCTATACACACTTATTCCTATACATTAATATGTTTACACCCTAATAAATAATTATGTAATAATGATATTAAACAAAAAGACAGATTGAAGGCATTGTGGCATTTGCTATAAGTCAACCCCGGGGATGATCTGGGAAGCTTAGAGCTAAATTTAAGCTGAAACAAATATTTCAGCCTGAACAAGCTGTTAGTATAAAAGTAAATAATAATTATAGATTAATAATTAATAGAATAGAAATATCATTATCCAAATTTTTTTTCTGTACAAAATATAATATTGTTAAATGAGAAACTCATATGAAAAAAAAATGTTTTACAGCATTTTAATAAAATGGTCTGCACATTATATTTTATACCATTAATTGTTCAGAAAATAAAAATTTTACATCTCCGATTTTTTTTAAATATCGTTCTTTTCAAATGAACTTTAAATGAAACAAAACACGTAATAAACGTCGTGAGATATTAAACAAGTATTATTTGCAAACGAAAAAAAAACGCAACACTTTTTCGTTGACATTTCAAATATCATAAAAAAAGAAAGCTCAACGACTTCGAACCACGTGGAGCGCCAAGGTCGAATTTATGTTTTCAACTTGTCAAGCGCGGCGTGTGATAAATTAATTCCACGGGCTGTTATCGCCAGCTTGAAAACTCGATTCTCAACTTTACTGCGAACAACATAAGGTAAGCATTTCCTTGCGCATTCCCACCACGCATAGTCGCCAACCCAGGCAATATATCTTAGGCCGTGTACTGCCCGTGACAGTTCGTAAACAAACTGGAGCTACCGCAACAAAGAAAAACAATCCATTCCTTACAATAAATAGTGCATTTAATACACAACCGCACACAATACTGCTCCAAATTTACGCAGAAATCCTTTATCTTCATCTCTTTTTGTATCCAACATAGTTTTGTTATTATTCCATCATAGAATTATGTTCTGTACTTACCAGAGAAGCAACGAAGCACGAAATATATTGCAGAGTCATCTGTAATACATCTTGCACATATCGATCACAGTCTTGCAGTTCTCTTAAAAAACACTAAGTAAAAAAAGAGGTTAGCACCAAAAATCGAAGTCTCTCATGTATCGTCGATCACTTGTCACGAAATAATGTGCAGTTAACAATTGATTAACTACAAGCGTTACACTACGTGTAAGTAAATGTAATCAGTTCACTATGTGAATCACAATCAAAATAAAAATAGTCGAGCAGACGCTGCGTCGACGACCGCGCCACTGTCTGTCTGCCGTGCTGTCAATATTCGTCAAAACGAAAATGGCGACACCCTCGACAGAATACGATCAACGCCAGCCTGCTCTCTCGTCGCCTCTCCTTCTATCGCCTCCATTAGACAGGGACAGACAATCGACATGTTATCTTCAACCCGACCGGACTGATTTGTGATGTCACGCCCAGCGGCGTAACGTTTTGCGTAATTACATGTTCATGATAGTCTGTAAACTTGTTTTAATAACGTTAATTTACGATCGTTTCGTATGAGAGGTCGTCGCATGAAAGTGTCGGTCATATCATAGGTTAATTATAGTGTAATGCGCAATTTATTTAGGGTAATACGTCTCTGCGCATGTAGGCCCGTCCCACTACTCAATATCTGTCGTAAGAGCGCCTCCTACTTCTTATTTTACTCTCTATTTTTTTCATATGTTCTGACTCGACTGCATTAATTCAATGCTAGTATGCAGTCGCAATGCAGTTTGATTAATAATGAATCCACTCTAATAAGCTTTCCGTGGTCTGCCTTAAATACTATACAAAAGTCTGCTTTTAGCAGCTAAAACTTATTTGAAAATTTGTCACTTCTGAGCTTTTGAAACAGCCGTTGGTATCGTCCGTTTGAGGCTTTATTTTTATTGTGAGCATGTAAATCCCAGACTTTCTGAATTAATATCATACTATCTAGGATCAAGTCTACGTTTTAAGAAAATCTATCACGACTTCGAATTATTCAAGACCTATTTAGTCTTAATTAGGTCAATCAAAAGTTAATACTTACATAAATAAAATATATTCTAGAAAGTTATTTTTTAATCAATAAACTTGTTCTAACCCTTAGCCACGTTATATAATAGTGGAATTGCCTAAATCCTGTGTAAATTTATTTAAATAAGACACAAAACAATACTTAAAACATGTTAATTTTTAAATGGTGTAACAAAACGCGCGCGTTTCGTTCCATCAATTGTTACTGTCAATGTCAAAGTCAAACTTCAAAGAGCTAAAACTATACTCTTTGCTTTTCAATTATACTGCGAGGGTTTTAAAACCGGTTCCATTTTTTTAATTTCTAAGATTATCAATGCTAGATTTTATTTGGAAAAGAGTTATCGATTTGAGTGTAACTGTTTTTTACTAACATAATTATCGGCATTATTGTAAAATATTTCGGCAACAAAAACAAGCCCGACAATTTTTATAAATGACAACACTGATTTCAAATTTTGTTCGTTTCGTTTTGAATTCGAAACAAAGTTTTTGCAAGGTTCTTAAACTTGTGGTTAAATTTCGATTGGATTTTTTTTTGTAATTGAAGTAGTATAAGCAAAGGTTTTTGCAATTAATTCGTTAATATGACTGATAAAAGCCACAAGTCAAGACTTACATCTTACAAAAATGTTGCACAAGGAACAAATGTGAGTTTGCTTTTAAACACATGAGGTATTTTTTGTACGCATTTCCTTTCTCTGTTTATTCCAAACTTGTATTGAAATTATCCTAAAGATATGAGAGAAGATAAAATCAATTACTTTAAGGATATAGAACGTATGTCCAAACATATCTAAAGTTTTGGATTACGACAAAGCCTGCAGATTTAACTTGCACTAACTGCACTTGGTCTAAGTTAATTTCGGTACATAACTATCATTAAATGACATTAAAAACTTAAGTGTAAAAAGATATGCATTCTTTAGTCATTAATAGTACATAATTTTAAAGTACCCGCTTTATGATATTTTTATCAAACTATATGTTCTAGGGATATTTTACTAGTGTCTAGAACCTAGATACCTAGAGTCTATGTAGTCTAGAATGTTAAGTATTTCAGGAATTACGCCGAAAGAGAGCAGAACTTAGTGTCACCCTACGGAAGCAAGCTCGGGATGATCAACTCTTGAAGCGTAGAGCTCTCTCACCTGATGGCAGTGAAGATGTGCAGTCAGACACACCTATACCCACTCCGGAGGAGATTGTACAAGGTATTAGAAAATTCAAAGTACTCAGCTACTTGTGATTAAATACACTTTACCATGTAAGGCCCACCAACTTAATTGACTGGTTGATCGGATTATGGGTCTAACTAATTGTGGCAAGGCATGTAAAAACAAAATATATAAATAGGTAAACCGCACCTTACTGTATTATGCCAGTAAGTGGTGAACCATCACACATGGCACTACCCTAGTTTGGGCAACAGTCCCCTGCCCAAAGGGAAAATCAATAAAGGCATTATATATTTTTTTTAAATGCTTTATTCATGTATGTAATCAATAGATCGTACAGGATGTTGTCAGTGAAATAGACAAGCCTTTAACAAAGTAGACCACCTCTATATTCAATATCTTCTATGGCTGTTCCAGTGTGGCTTTATCCGCATGAAATTTCAAAATTCAAATGCACAAATGACAATTGCATCCTTGAGGTTGGCAGCAAATTTATGGTCTCTTTCCCACAATAGGACTTTTTTCCAAAATATTTACCTCCTAAGTGTAATGGCGTGAAAATATATAGCCTAAAGCGTGATGTAATTGTAGGGCTTTTTATTAAAAAAAAGATTTATTCAAAAATATGCTGTAATTACTAACATCTTAGGCAACAAAGAAGTGTGTGTTTACACTTTATTATAATAGTATAGATAAATTTCAATATAATTATGTACAGGTGGAACAACTCTTAAGAAATAAGTAGACTTAACTTGTAACATTATTCCTAGGTCTAAAATCAAGCAATGTAGCGGTGAAAGTAACATCAGCGCGGGCGGCGCGGCGCATCCTGTCCAAGGAGAAGAACCCACCGATCACTACCATGGTTAATGCTGGAGTTATCAAACCACTGGTCGAAGCTCTGGATAGAGATGACTGGTAAACTATTGACATTTAATTCACGTCACGTCCGTGTGGAATTAAAAAAAAACAAAAGTGAGAAGCCTATGTTTACTTCCAGACTATCCTCCACAATTATGCCAAATTTCATCAAGATCCATTCAGCTGTTTAGGCTACAAACTCTAACATACATCAATCCATCTAAACTTTCGCATTTATGATATTAGTAAGATTTAGTAAAGTACCAAGTTATTTTGGTAGCTATAATATATAACTGTGTAAAAATTTGCTTGTGGTTCCAGTATAGTATATAAGTAAGTGATGTTTTGGCTTATCAAAATTAATGTTTACTAAAAAACGTGACTCCAACAGTAAAATGTTAAACAGTTTAATGATGAATGGAAGGAAACATGAATAAATAAATATAATCCGATAATAATAATGAAGTAACAGCCCGTGTCAAGGTTCCTGAGGAGCCCTTGAGTTTAGTTACTCATAAACGAGATTTATGCTAAGCGCCATCTGAGCTCAGGCACTTCAAGCCAGGTGAAGCTGTAAATGTCTTTTCAAGGCAAATTATATAAAAATACAATTTCCTCAAAGGCCGGCAACGCATCTGTAGTTCCTCTGGTGTTGCGGATGTCCATAGGCGTCGTTGACCTTTTTGTTCCCGTTGCTAGTTTGCCCCCTTCTCATATAAAAAAAACTGGCAATTCAGTCTCAAAAAAGATAGATTTCTTAAACTAATCAACTAAATTTTCGTTCACAACTTTGTCTAGTTCAAAACTACAGACTAATTTAGTAGCTTAACTACTGGTCTATTACATTTCTAATTACCCCTTTCACAGTCAAGATTTGCAGTTTGAAGCGGCCTGGGCACTCACCAACATTGCATCAGGCACTCACGAGCAGACTATGGCTGTGGTTGATGTAAGTACATAGTTCTAGAATATTCTATATCATAGCAAAGTAGTTACCAGCCACATGAATTTGTCAAATGACTGGATCGTGCATAGATATCCAAAATTACATGTTTTTTTTTTTACAAAAAAGCGGGTAAACGAGTGGCGTGAACACCAAGGTGGTCAACGACGCCTGTGTGTTTTGTTAATGTGTTGTTTATCTTCAATCTATAGATGCACAGGAAGGTATTTCCTTCTATGCTTCCCTTCCTCTGACAAATCCATTTCCCCTTTTCTTTCCTTATAGAAGGTCTGAGTAGAGTCATTGTTATTTTCTTTTCTTAATCTATTTCAAGTTTTATTCTTTACTTCACTATTGAGGTGATTTGTAAAGATTTGGTATTTGAAAGGTTTTTGGTTGTTTTAATTCCCTTAAATGATGTATTTATAAATCAGTCTATTCTTCCATACCCAATAAAAATAGTCTATTTTGAAAGAATCTTTTTTTTCTATGTTTTTCCCTTAATTGTGCATTTAATAATTAAAAAATTACAATATGAAGGGTTAAAAATTTGTTGTAATTATTCCCAGGGTGGTGCGATCCCTAAATTAGTAGGCTTGCTAGCGCGGGGGGGCACTGTGGGCGAGCAGAGCGCGTGGGCGCTGGGCAACATCGCGGGCGACGGCGCCGCCACGCGCGACCTCGTGCTGTCCGCCGGCGCGCTGCCCACCCTGCTGCCGCTCCTCAACCCCACCACTCCGCCCTCGCAGCTCAGGACTGCCGTCTGGACTTACAGTAACTTCTGCAGGTACAAATAAGTACAGGGAAAAGTACAGTTGTGGAAATCTGCGGTGTGCTACCTATAGAAATTTCCTCTTGTTGCTTGCAAACGGCAAACTTTGCGTTTTATTTTACCATTTACCATTTTACCAATTGGTAATAGTGAGATGTGCAAATAAAGGGATAATAATTTAAAGATTGTATTACTTAAGTTTTTTCGTGCTAATTTAAAAGCTACCTTCTATTGGTTATTGTAATAAATCATCTCAATGTGTACAAAATGTTGAAATTACTCATTTTTACGAGGAAACACGGTCAGATTCAACAATTGTTCCAACCAAACCGTTAAAAATTGAAATTTGTTCCAGAAATAAGAATCCATTGGTAAAGTTTGAGTATGTTGCTCCAGCACTCACATACATGTCGAATCTTCTAGAAATATCGGATCAAGATGTACTCGGTAAGTATTTTAACATGATGGTTTCAAACACAACAAATGTTATTTTGTTGCCATGATATTGTTTTGAGTTGTTTCGGAGATACAGAGAAATACGTCTATCTATCCAGTCGGTGGCTCAGTGGTTTAAGCACTTGACTTGTAATCTACAGGTCTTGGGTTCGAATCCCGCCGCCATGTACCAATGTGATTTTCGATTTTTCGAATTTTCATATGTACATAATTTACCCGACGTTCTTACGGTGAAGGAAAACATCGTGATGCAACCTGCACATATCCGCGAAGAAATTCAAAGATATGTGTGAAGTCAACCAACCCGCACTTGGCCAGCGTGGTTGACTATGGCCTAGTCACCCTAACATTAGGGTAGGCTCCGAGCCCCTCGGTGGGGACATATAGTGAGCTGGTGATGATGATGGTGATGATCCAACCATTCAAACTGTTATTTCTTACTAATATTAAAGTTTATATGGCTGGATGGATACAGTACAGGCTGAACGGAACCATGAAATTTGATATAAAAAAAGACCATAGACTGGAAGAACACAGACTACTTTTGTTATTTTTAATTCTTTACCATTGGCGGCAGCTTACATTATATAGTACGAAGTATGATTGTCTACGGTATACACTACATATGTCGAATTCTTTCTTTGACGGATGATAGAGTGCTTTGGAGGACGAAAACCCGGTGCGCCGACCCTACGGGAGTAGGATAAGTCATTGGAGATGATGATGATGAATTGTTTCTTTTGTTAAGAATTTCGATACTTTAGCCACTGATTGTATAACTAGCGGACGCGTGCTGGGCGCTGTCGTACCTAACGGACGGGCCCAACGAGCGCATCGAGGCGGTGCAGAGCACGCCGCAGCTGCTGGCGCGCCCAGCACGCCTCGCCCGCCGTGCGCACGCCCGCCCTGCGCGCGCTCGGCAACATGCTCACCGGCTCCGACGAACAGGTACTTACCAAAATAAGGAATTTTCATGTTTTTTTTTTTAAATATTCTACTTGTTATAAAATAACCAGAAAAATTGACTCGATAATATTCAACTATTGAGCTAAAATAATAAAATAAAATTACAACCATTTTCGTGCGACTAAAAATAAGCCATAGTAGATGCCACTTGCTTCGACCAATAGCTTTGCGTTTTAGAACTTAGCGAGGGAATTAAAAAAAAAGACACCTTTTAATGATTGATTTTCGCCACTAAATCACTAAATCACACCAAAATATTAAAAAATATCTTTACAGGTATTTTTTATAGTAATAAAGAATGCTTAATCAAAGTTTGGTCCAATTTGGCGTCATATGCATATTGCCTATTGTATTAATAAGAAGGGAATTACACAATGTACAAGGCTGTTTCATACGTAAGGAATGGTCTGTCGAGATATGAGCATATCACCTGCAACGCATCTGCTGTTCTGGTATTGCAGACAACCATGGGCGTCGATGAACATCTCGGTTTTACCGCTGCTTACCTACCCCCTTTGTTATAAAAAAATATGAAGTGAAAAGATTTGTATGCATTGACATATATCAAAAACTACTGGGCCGATTTCAAAAATACTTTCATAGATAAAAAACACGTTATCACTGATTCATTTTTACGCGGACGAAGTCGCAAGCAACAGTTAGTCTCGTATAAAAAAGGGTACATCGCGTATTTCCGCACCTGTACATACAGTATTTAGGGTAGTGGTACTAACCAGACCTCCCCGCAGACGGACCGCTGCCTGGACGCGGGCGCGCTGGACTACTTGGCCGGGCTGCTGCGCTGCGGGAAGCCCTCGCTGATGAAGGAGGCGGCCTGGGCCGTCAGCAACGTGCTGGCCGGCACCCAGCAGCAGATCCAGCGCGCCGTCGACAAGGGCATCCTCTCACACCTCATGCACGTCCTCTCCTGTGATGATGTCAAGTGAGTATACCTTTAGAGCCCTTTAGTCCCCTTTTCTAATAAGAAATGAATGAAAAGGGAACATGGATTTGACGATTTAGGAGACGCATAGGAAATATTCTAATTATGTGTGTTTACTCCTCCTTCGATTAAGTATAGGCAATGCATCTGCGATTGCGAATGTCTTTGAGCAGCGGTTGTTTCGCCATTAAGGCGATATCAGGTGGCCGCTTGCTCGTTTGCTACCTTATAATATAAAAACAACAAAATCGGTCTCCCCTACCCCATAATAACGGCTGAAGACTGATAATAGAAGTATTACTATGGCGAACCTCAAAAATATTCCGAAAACATATAAATTTTTTGGACTTTTTAGCATAGACTGCTGCAATCTCGATGAAAGGCAGCCGTAGAAGATAATCTGGGAGAACAGATTACTTTTTTTTTCATTCCACGCAGATTTGTACTAGTTTTTTGTATAAATGTATAGATGTCAGAAGGAGGCGGCGTGGGCGGTGACGAATCTGTGCCTGGGGGGTTCCCCTGCGCAGCTGGACGCGCTGGTGGGTGTGGGCTTCCTGGAGCCGTTCTGCGCGCTGCTGGCTTCACCAGACCAGCGCGCTGTCACTGTCGTGCTGGACGGACTTACGCACTTCTTACAGGTACTTAGTAATATTATAAAGAGGAAAGATTTGTATTTGTGTATGTATTGAAATAACTCAAAAACTAATGGACAGATTTCAGAAATTCCAAACTTTTAATGCTATGTTATCGCTGAGTAACATAGGCTATGTTTTTACAATTTTTAATTACACGCGTACGAAGTCGCGGGCGACTACTTTATTTATAACTAGCTGTTCTCATGCGACTTCATCCGCATAGAATTACAAATATTTCATTTTATTGTTCACATTTGAAAAATTATCAATTGCAAATGTGAAAATGACCTTGCTTCCTTGATGTTGGCAGCAACTTATGGTCTCTTTCCTACATTAGAGTTTTTACCCAAAATATTTACCCCCTAAGTTTAATCGCGTGGAAATATATAGCCTAAAGCGTGACGTAAGTGTAGGGCTTTTTATTAAATAAGGAATTATTCAAAAATATGCTGTAATTGCTGACATCTTAGACAACAAAGAATTGTGTGTTTACGCTTTATTATAGTATAGGAGTACAATTAGGCTTTTAGAAACGTTTTAAAAAAACTATTTACTTTTTTAGGCTTGTAGAGTTTTTTATTTGAATCTTCCGTGATATACATATTTTGGTTGTTTTTTTTAAATTTCCGACTCTACGGAGGGTGGCGCTGCCAGCCTTTGTTGATATATGAAAAATATATAATGATTACTAGCAATAATTACTAATAATTATATATTAGTTAACAAACTGTATTATCTGTAGACTGCGGCCAAGTTCGGTCAGATAGAGCGACTCTGCCTGCAGCTGGAAGAGATCGGAGCATTAGATCGTATCGAGGCGTTGCAAGAACATGAAAACGAACAGGTATTTGACTATAATATAAAAAAAATGTGCACATTATTATTTTACATTTACATACATTTACGTGCACATTATTACCTTATGTTAATGAGAGCGTCGGTGGCTCAGAGGTTTATGCACTTGACTTGTAATCTTGTAGTCTTGGGTGCGAATCCCGCCATCTACCAATGTGATTTTCTAATTTAAATGTACATAATATACCCGACGTTTTTACGGTGAAGGAAAACATCGTGATGCCTGCACATATCGGTGAAGAAATTCAAAAATATGTTTAAAATCAACCCGCACTTGGCCAGCGTGGTTGACTATGGCCTAGTCACCCTAACTCAGGGCAGGCTCCGAGCCCCTTAGTGTGGATATATAGTGAGCTGGTGATGATGATGAACTTTGCGTTTAAATAATCTCTAAAAAAGTAGGGTCGATTTCACAGGACTATGAGAATACACATTGAAGTAGCTAACTTGCATACCAGTTACTGTCATATGTTAATGTGCAAGTTAGTGTTCTCTAGCTAGCACATATTATTTTGTGACAGCTATGTGCATTTAAGTTGGACTTCTTAGAGTTTCGAACTTTTAGAGAAGGTTTACATATAATTTTGCTGATATTTTACTGACATGTGTAAACGAACATACCAGTAACTGGTATGCAAGTGAAGCTTCCTCAGGCTTTGTTTCATATGACCTTTTACAATTTTCTTTAATAATATGTTTGCATATTTCAGATATTCAAGAAATGCTGCTTCATCCTGGACAACTACTTCATGGACCAGGAGGACCAGGTGGCACAGCCCCAACAGACGGATGAGGAGTTCCAATTCGGTTCCGGGGCTGATAATCGCAATTTCAACTTTTAAATAGTAAGAAATAATAGTAAATGTAATTAAAATCAAATTAAGAAAGTAAAATAAGATTGCATGTGAAAAAACTATAAAAATTTAGTAATTTGAGAATCTACTTTTTGTAATCCGTGAAAATAGAATATCACTATAAATTACTTTGGATTTGTAATCTAACAGTCTTAGAAATAGATGCCTTGTAAAGTTTAACGATTCCTTTAAACTATTCAAACGAAGCATAAAGAAAATTTGTACTAATATTTGCTTATACTCATTTAATTCCTAAATATTTCCTAACTTTATATCGTGTTTATTTGTAAGGCTGTAGCATTTATGTAAAATCTTAAGTAATAAATATTATAGACAATATGTATATCTAATGCTGTTTTACAATAGGCTTGTAATTTAGTTGAGTACCGTATTAAGCTTAAAACTGATCTGATTAACTAATTCTCTTCAGACAAGTTACTAAATTACTTACTCTACTTAATACTAGACTATTGTAAGCTATAAGGAAATCACTTAGTAACCTTTAAACACTAAGTATTCAATGTATTTCACGGGAGGCCTAATTTTATCATTTTTCTTTCCACCTTTGCAAGGTTGAGAAGAGAAAGTGAATTTTTTGAAGTACACAGGAAGGGGAAATATTCTATCTTTAAGTTCCCTCTGTCATGTAGGCGTTTTATATAGATTTTTATTAATAAGTTTACATGTTTACACTTTTTAACCCTTAATCAATTTTTGGGTAGTTATTTTCCTCTTGAGAGTAATGTACAATTTCTTATTTCTTTATCGGGAACTCTTAAATTAGTATGAATCTCAGGATTTACTTTAACCAATTTTTTCGAGCACAAAACCCATTTCAATAGAAACTATCACCAGTTAAAAATGATCTTGAAAAAACCCCTTGTTTTGGTTAAAACCTGTTTTTACGTAATATTAAATAGCCAGGGTTTGAAATTGTTATAAGATTTTGTTTGAAATCATTGTTTTAAATGTCTATTTGCTGCCTTCGACTGATTTAGAAGCTGGTCTTACATGTGATATTAAAATTCCTTTATTGTGTTAATGTTTTAGATGTAAATTTTTGATATTAAATGATTTAATAAAATTGGTTGTTTTTTTTATTTCTATCTTATTACTTCTGAGGGGATTAGAGCCCACCCCAAGGGTGACTAAGACCATAGTCAACCAAGCTGGCATACTGTGGATTGGTTAACATTTCTTTGATTTTCTTTGCTGATATGTGCAGATATCATTGTTTTCCTTCACCGTTACAATGTCGGATTATGTACAAGTGAAATTCTAAAATCACTTGGAATATGACAGTGTTCGAACCTGATTCCTGTAGATTACAAGTGCTTAAACTCCTGAGCTACAGATCTCTATGTATTTCAATAAGAACTCAATGTAATTTTCAAAAATATTGCAACACTGGTCATTTACAAACATTATTTGATAAAAAAAACATGTTTTTTACTATTTTCTATTGCTCATGTATCCTAAAAATAATTTGTCCTATCCAGAATATATAAAAGTACTGATTATTTCGATCTATAGCAGTTAGATTTTCCAGATTTTTCGTAATCCGACGTATCAGGAACCTTGTCCTCCCAGTCGTCCTCTAGTGCCGATTGGTCAACGTCGCCGATTACATATTTCTTATTTTCTATAAATAGGGAAACATTTTACTAATATAAATGTGAAAGCTTAGATGGATGTTAGATTTCATGGCGTAAACTGCTGAACGAATCTCGATGAAATTTGGCATACACATGAAAAATCTTTAAGAACACAGGCTACTTACTATTGTTTTTTTTTTAATTCCACATGGACAGAGGGTAATATTTTTTTTCTCGAAAACACGTGTATGAATTGCAAATTCAAGATACTGCATGTGTGACAGTAGTAGCAAACTTCTAAACAAATGGGAAATAATGTTTTCCCACATAGGATATGTTTAGACTGACTAGAGCAGATAAATATCTAAACTCCGGTAGATTATTTAATCTGCAGTGAAATCACTTGACATTGTAGATATGCAAACCACAAGCCACCAGAAATATCAAATAAAAAATTTCAATAAATGTTTTATGGTCATAATTTGAAATTTTAAAGATACTTACTTTTAACTTCTACAAATTCCGCCAATTCTCGATCATCCAGAATCAGATCTATGTCATCTATATCTTCTGTCGTCATTTTATTCATCGGAATAATCTAATTTGATTTTTTTCTACTTTTTAATTTTTAATTAATCCATTTTGTAAGGTGTTGGACGGTTACTTTCCCCCGTCCGGGGCTCTGGAGGTGTGGGG